CTTCATCTGAGAATGATTTTATTTCATCTACATATTTTGACAGATAGTTTTGTTAGATATGGAATTCTTGTTGACATTTCCTTTTTAACACTTTAAACTTATTAACCCAATACTGTTTTGGCTTTTTCTGTTGATTATCCAGCTATTAATCAAGCCGTTGGTATGATATGTGCACTTTTCTCTTGATATGTTTGGGAGTTTGAACCTTTTTTTTAACATTTGGACTAAGATAAGTTGAGGGGTGCATTATTTATGTGTATTCTTTTTTGGAGTTTATTGAGATATTCCCCCCCTTAATCCGGTTACATGGTTTTTTGTTTTTGTTTTTTTGTTGTTAATATAACTTTCTCTAAAAATGAGTGAATTAATTATCTATTTGATCTCAGTAAATGCCATGTTCTTTTCTTTTTACCTTTTGTGGTAGCATTGACTTACAACATTGTATATGAGTCAGAGGAATAGGTTTAACACTCCTCAGATGTGCATCACCATAATACACCCACCCAGAAGAACCATACCCCTTTATAGTATATGACTGAGCAATGTTTGGATGATCTACAGAAAAATGTTTTCTCATCACATTTTGGGCAATGTCCAGCCATTCTTTATCTTTTTAAAGATTTATTTATTTATGCATACAAGAACTGGGGTACAGGCCAGAGGTTCAGGGGTGAGAGGATTCATCAGAGACATTGGGGAGCAGAACAGGCAGATTGACTGAAACACACTGCTGAGGGGAGCAGTGGATAGCTCTCTGACTGGGGATTGAGCTTGTGCCATAGTGGTTGAGGATAGTTTCAAAATGCTGTGCTTTGAGGTCCCCATTATTTCTTTAAATAATGTTTTACTTTATGTCTCTCCTCTTTCATATTCATGTTCTTGATGATATCCCACCAATGTTTGAGATTTTTATTTTTCTTTTATTATATTTCATCATGTTATTTAATATGGTTATCCCTATTGATTTGTTTTCTCAAATATGCTCTTATGTTCCTCTAACTTCTTCATTTACATTTTTATTTCTAAATTTGTAGATTTTTTTTTTTTTCGGGTGCAGACCTGGATTTAATGTCATGGAACTTGCTGGGTTTTTCTCACAACACAGATGAAGAGTTAGTAACTCCCGGACCCCCAAGGAGGAGCCGGTTAACTCTTGAACCCAAAGATGCCTTAGATGTACCCAATGAGGCCACTCTTGGTCTTCTGTTCCAGCTTGTCCTCCAGGGGTGGGAAAGCCACGTGGTTGAAAGCCTGGTGGAACAACAAGGGCTTGCAAGGAACAGGCTGGAACCCGGGGGGGCAGGGGGGAGGGAATGCATCAGGCCAGCCTGCTTGGTGATGAGGGAAGGGTCCATGCAGAAAGTCTCAAAGCGTTCGACCAGAGGGTTGCTGTCCTTGATTTGGGAGGAGACCTCTGTTTGACAGGGGTCGCTTGTGTCCAAGATTGCTGCCGCCTGCAAGTAGCACTTCTGCGATCTCACTTGCATGGTGAGCTCCTGCACATCAGGCAAGTCCTTCAGTCTGTTCTGGAGGCTCCGGCGTTGGAACTGGCTTCATTTGCGTATTTCAGGACTTGGTCATACAGGACAAGGGCCTCGCCCCACTTCTTCACCTACACATAGGACTGTGCAGTGAAGAAAAACCTGTAAGCCTAGTACACCAGGGTCTTGAAGCCTAGCTCCTTCTGGAAGTCTCTGCCCTCCTCTAAGCCAGGAAGCTGATGCAAATCCACCAGATTCTGCAGAATGATATCATAGAGCCAGATCAAGACCTGGGGGCTAGGGTGGGGGTGGGGTAGGGGTTTGGGGGGATGTGGGGCGGGTGAGGACTTGCTGTTGTCTTCCGGCTGCTGCTGCACAGCAGCATCTGCAGGCCTTTCGCTATGCTTTCGTTTCACTTGATCGCTGTCGACAGCTTGATGTGGGTCAAATAGCTGTGCTGCATCAAGGGTGTAATCTCTCTGTTTCTGGTCGGGCTTCAGCTCTTCCTGAACTGCGTTCTGGCACTCGCTGAGCAAGGATTGGAACAGACGCTCCTCGGCTTCTTCACTTTCAGCCTGGGCAATGACCCTTTGATATCAGCCAGTCCTAGAAGATCCTCATTTTGTCGCTTTTCACCGGAACCGTCCTCCCTCTCCACTCCACCGCCCTCATGGTAGCTGCCAGCTTGGCTCGGGTGGAGTGATAAGTGCCTCCAGTTTTTCAGCCAGCAGCCCTTCGGTACCCACAGGGCAAAATCCTCATCTGCATAAATTCGTTGATAGTTGACTGTTCCCCGATGTTGTACGCGCAGTAATGGATGTTGGACAAGATCTACTCCATGCGCTAGTTGTACAGCATGGCCTACTTCTCTGTGAACGCTCTGGCCATCTTCTCGCAGATGGTCTTGTACTTGTTAAAGGCCTCAGTGGCAGCTTTCCACTCCCGATGCTCAAAGCATAGCGTCCCTGCCAGGTATGCGGTGTCTGCCTAGACCTCCTGCTTGGTCTTGGTATCTACGCGGCTGCCGAGTACAAGCCCTCCAACTCCGTGTACTTCACAGATTTGCAGAGACCGGATAGTAGGTGGAAGCGTTTTCGGGATTTGGTGTTGGCCTCCTGTTTGAGCTGCATGGCGTAACTCCAGCCTCTTTCAGCATTCATCAGAACCAGAAGCAAGTACCCGCTATTGGTCAGAAGCTCTTCAGTCACCTTCCCTGTGAATGTCTTGCGGAGCCGCCTCTGTCTGTGGGTGCAGTAGACCCTGTACCTCTGAAGTCTCCATGCTTTAAATTTATCTCTTATGTTTTCTGTATGTTTCTTGAGATTTTCTGTTCAATGTGTCATTACCATAATGCTTTATTTAAATACTGCTTTTTCATTCTTTGAAAATACTTACTATACTGCTTTGAAAACCACTAAGTGTAATATCTGGCCCCAGAAATAAAAAACATAAACCCTCTCGGAGACAGTCTCTTTTGATGACTTTTTTTTACTCTGGAACACATTTTTCTATTTATTTGCATGTCACCTAATATTTTAAATAACTTATTATGGTATCTCTGCATTATTATTACACCTAGAGATTTTTCTCTCCCATTTGTTGATTTGGTTTGTTAATGCCTGGCTTGTATAATTTTGCAAATCCTGTTTTCTGATGGTAGTCCCATCAGGTTTGCCCATTAACATATCTAGTAGACAGGCCATGACTGGTCAGAAGATGTGCTAAAATACCTTGATTTAGTAAGTCTTCCCACTTTTACCAATAGAGCTATGTATGTGCTGGATAACTCATTATGTTTTGTACTCTTTACAAGTATTTCCCTAGTTTTGCCATCTTCTGGCCCCCCTTGTGTCTCCACTGCATATGCAGAAGACTCTATCTTCAACCAGAGGTGTGTAAACATCTAGGACCCTCTGTAGTCTTTCTTGAGTCTGAATGCAACTTGTGCTAGGTGCATCCCTTCAGGATATTTGGAACTTATCATGGCCCTCCTTGGGTGTCTTATTTTCACTATCCTCCTCATGAAACTTGCAAGTATATATATACTTTGTACATTTATCCTTATATAAAATATTGTGACTTTACACTCAGATTTTCTATGAGATTATGAGCTTTCCAGGATTGTACTGTCATTTTTATCTCTGTAATATCAGTACCTGTATCAGTAACTGATTCCAGGATGTCTCCATGGTCCAATACATTTTTAAATCTCTTATTTTCATGTCTCATCTTGGATCACTAGTATCTGTATCCTCAGTTTTCTAACCTTATGAAGAATGGCAGTATGCTTCTGCTTTAAATATCCTAGGAGTCTTTCCCTTTATCATAATATTTATATTATTATCTTGTGCCTGATTCTCTGTCTTCCTCTGCCATAATAACAGTGATTTCCAAAAGGAAAAAGACCATGAAACATTTGACTCTACATCCCTACAAAATTATGTAGTTCTTAGTACAGAGCAGAGACTCAACAACTGTTAAGTAGAATTTAGTTTGATTAAATTAGCATTTGTAGTCAATTTATTTGATTGAAATGTGATTAACATATAAACAAATCAGATAATTTTTATTGTTGGTCGCAGAGCTCGGTAGGTTTTAACTAACAGGTTTAATGATATTCAAGCAGATTGTCTGCAGTAATGACATTGCCCATTCTTATTTTTACTCTTTTCATTGTTAACATGGTGAGCATTAACATGGATGTAGTTTGATACTCTAAGTAGTCAGTATTTGTTATATTTTTTGTATGCCAAGAAATAAGTGAATTACTCAGATAGTTTAATGGGCCATTTTATTAAGATTGTTAATTGGTTAAAGGAATTTAAAAATTATTATGCTAAGTCTTAACTCATATTTTGGAAAGGTTTATGTTTTATTTGTTAAAATACAATTTATTTTAACCTAAAAACATAAAGATTTTGCCTCATATGACTTTGTCTTCAGAAAGCAAGTATAGCTTTATGATTTTCCCTGAAAGGACTTCTGTGTTGCCTTTCAAGTGATTATATTTTGTACTTTAATCTGACCTTGTGATTATAGAAATATTAAGGAAAGTATATGTTTAAGGTGTAGAGCAATGATTATCAATCTTGGCTACATGGTAAATGTTCCTTAACATGTGGAGGTGGAGGAAATTTTTGAAAAGGCAATGTTTAGAGTTTTTCCCCAAAGCACTTAAACCTTCTCCACAGAGTAGATCAGAAATAAATTGTTATGTTAATATATAAACAAACTCTACTATTATCTCTGAGTCTTTTCTATTTGTATCTTACACATTTTAAGATGAAGTACTGCTAGTAACACTAGATGCCAGGTGTTTCATAATTACCTGCTGAAAAGTGATCCTTTTAAAATCAAAGTTTAGGTTATGCACTTGGTGTATATTCTCTTATCTCTTGAATAGCCTCTATTCCTGCAACCACTTCATACTTTTAGGTGCCCAATCTTAGAAATGTTCTAAATAGGGTGATGGACAGTTCTATTGATGATATAAGAAGAGAGTCAAACATTCCGTTTTTGTTATTGAATAATGTTAGCTTTATTATTATAGTAGAATACAGTGTGACAAAATTAAGAGCTTTTGCTAAACTCTGTAAAGCAATACATGCATCTGCCATAAACAACCTCAATTCATGTTAGGTTTTATTGCCACTTCACTGCACTAAGGTGCAATAAACATTCAGTGTCAACTTTTAAAAAATTTTCCTGGGAGTAAACAGGAACTGTCCTCTATAAGAGTGCATCTTTATTTTCAAGGAAGACTTAACTAGAATTACATGGTTTAGCAAAGCACTGTAGAAAAGCTACAGAGAATAATTTGTGATAAATTGTGCAGTCAATTTATACAATAGAATACTATCCACATGAACTAACAAACTAAGAAATGATAGAGATGCAGTCATTGCATAGCAGAAAGCAGACTAATAAGAAATATTCACATCTAATGTCAAAATACAGACCAAAAGTTAGGAATGAGGAATCTGGAAGGTCATATGTTCTTAATAAACACAGTAGGTTAACGTCGAAAAATAACAAGATAAACAGCAACACAGAAGTTAGAGCCATTTTTTTTATTTCATTTTATATATATGATATCTACATATGATACCAGAGGATGAAATTTTCTAGGTTCAACTTTATATGCCTGGCTCATAAAATTTAGGCAGGACCAAATCAAACAGTAAAGCACATTGAAAAAGAAAGCCAGAGTTTGTTGAGGAAACTACAAACAGTGTATTTTCCTACATCATTGGATAGCAGCTTTTTGTGAAAAACATCACGCAAAACTTAGGTATGGATGGATCCCAACTGTCTTATTTGGCAATTATGCTGACAAGTTTGTGTTGTACTACTCTAAATGTGTTTAGACCATGACCTGTGGATTCTGGACACTAATTTTAAATATCTCTGAAACTCTGTCAGACAAAAGGAGACTTCAAAAATACCTTCTGCATAAATAGCTATGTCTAAAACATCTGGGAAGTAATGAAACAGACTAGAATTTTCATAGGGTATATTAATGAATCTCTTGTAGTTAAAGCCCTTACATAGTATACCTACAAATGTATTGCTACGGTATAAATGAAATGTAATAATATTACTCAATAAAAGCTATTTCCTGTACATTCTTTCATGTATTTTTATATTTAATGCTACATATGGTACAATACTTATTGAAATAGTTGGTATCAGCAAAGATAGTATAATATACAGTTGATTTTCTAGCTCTCACTAATGCTTTTCCACTTTCTATTTTACAAGAGCCTAAACTTGGGGAACGCAGCATGAGTTGAGCAGATAGCAACTGATTTGCTACTGTACACCAGGCAGGGCAACAGTTTGAGATGATAAGCTTTCTTCAAATAAGCATACCCATATGTTTTTAATTTCCATCTGATTTCTATGTACTGTTCTGTTCTTAAATGCAGGCTCTAAATGTATTTCCTTAGCACTTAACAACATTCTAACAGCTAAGAGTGGTGAGTCCTACACGATATTTTAAGAACTTAACTTTAAAAAAAGTAAAAAATGTACAATCTCATGCTTTTTATTTACATATATAATTTATATATTCTATTTTTGTTTGCTAGTCATAAAGTTCAATCTAAAAGCTTTTAATGTACTGTTATATAAAATAATACATTCAACAATTCTAGAGCTTGCAAAATATTTTTGCCCCTCTAAAAACATCTTCATAATAAGAATCAAGTGATTATTGTGACCATGTGCTATCTGGAAATAGGATGGAAAGGGAATCTTTTTCAATTATTTCACTTTATCTTTAATTGTGTGAAAGTCTTTGTTTGAATGATTCCTCATGGAGTCTAGTGTAAAAGCTCAGATGATAGCAAAGTAACCTATTTAAAGTATTTCTCTCCATTAGTTAAATGTGTCTACAGTGTGAAATTGCATCTTTGCCTATGCAATTTCCATGAATTTTAAAATAACATTTAACAACAAAATAATGTATTAAACATTTTTAAAAGGAGAAAGAACAGAGACTTTTAGCTTTGGAAATGAAATGTTAAAGCTATCCATCAGTTTAAAAACGAACAAAAATGTACGCATACCATAGTTTGTGCAATAAAGACAGATTTTTAAAAATCTTTCTTTGTTAAATATTATAATTTACTCTTTTAACTACCTTCCCATAAAAATATTTTGACATATACATTTTTTTAAAATTATTTGGAAATATATATCTACAAATGACCTGGAGTTACAGATAAGTTTTTATTTTTACTCTACTTTTTCTCCTATCTTTGGACCCACTTCCCCCTCTTTTCCTCTTTCATGTTTTGTCTCCTTTGTTTAGGTTTTGCTCTGGAGCTCTCTCTATCTCAGAATCCTGTCTCTCAGCTGAATATTCTGTTCTGCTTGGGACTGCCAGACAGGGGTTTGTTGTTCTTGTATGAATTATGGAAATTAGGGAACCTTCAAATTCTTAAGACAGAGGCAATAAAGCAGATGGGAATCATTGCATTGAGAACAGAAAGCAATTCCCATTGTGGTGGACTGAACAGCAGCATGGACGTACAGACCTATTGATGTGGAGTGGGGGCTTTGAGCTGAGGCTCACGGTTTAAATATGTCGCCCAATAGACCAAGTTAAAGATTCCAAATAGCAGTGGGAAGGCTATTCTTGACAGTCGGTCAATTTTACTGACACTGTTAAAGGTTTTCTTGGGTTCTGGTGGTTTTGTCTCCGGTTTCACTTCTTTTGGTTCTATTGTTGCACTTTTAGCAATGGTTGCCAAGCCAGGGTCACCCCTTGCCAGATTAGGGGTATAGCTGGTTGCTGTGGGAGCATAAGTGTTGTTTTTCTTGATGAGAGGATCCTTCACTTTTTTTGGCTGTAGGAGGAAAGAGCAAAAACATTCTGTTTAGTGAACTGTGGGAAGTTTATAAATTGCTAAGCAAAGTGACCTTTGCTTTGGAAAATAAATCAGTGCTTTATTTAAAATATAAGGAATGTAATTTATAACTTTATTACTGAGCTAAATTCAAAATAAAGACACAGACTTCCAATTAGAAAAGGAGTAAATTCTGGACAATTTAGTAGCAATATGATGATTAAAGTTAATAATACTGGGACCTCCTTGGTAAAGCAAGGGGTTAAGTCTCAGCATTATGAAACAATCTGCAACCTATGTGGTCTGAGTTCGATTCCCAGTCAGGGAGATTAAATTAATCAACAAGGCACAGCAGACCTCTCCTGTCTTGCCCACTGCTCCTCTCGGCATTGTATTACAGTCAGTTGTCTGTCTGCTCCCCACTGTGTCTCTAGTGAATCCTCTCATCACCCCACCTCTGGTCTGTATCCCAGCTCTTCTCTGCATAAATAAACAAATCTTTAAAATAATAAAAATAGTGTGTTGTGTACTTGAAAGTTGTTGGGAGAGTATGTCTTAAAAATGTTCTCTTAACAAAAGAGAAATAATTATGTGATAGAATATTATTACCATTTCTAGGTATTTATCCTATAAGTATAGGAAAACATTAAAAAGGTATCTACACCCCTATGTTCAAAGTAGCATTTTCCAAAATTGCCAACACTTAGAATTAACCTAAATGCCCTTCTACAGATGTATGTATACTCAATGAAATGCAGCTCCTCTGTTAAATTAGATGAAAACTTGTCTTTTGTGACAGCATAGTTGGAACTTGAGGCAATTTATACTAAGTGAAATGTCAGAAATAAGACAGGTACTGTTTTGTTTCACTCTTACATGGAATATAAATAACTAAAAGCAAACAAATGGAAAAACACAACAGAAATAGCTCAGACTCTGAAAAATACAGTGGTTACCAGAGAGAAAGGAGAAGGATAGTAGGGAATGAAGAGTGGAGAAGAGTCATTTGGGCAATGTGATGGCACTAGAGTTTGGTAGTAAGACAGGGAAATACACATGTTGAGGTGTGAAGCTGTATTCCTGAAATCATACAGTTTGTAAATGATTAGTAAATCAGTGTAATTTCACTTAAAAATAATAATATAATTTTTGTTTTGTGTACATGCTATGGTGATATTATTGATTTGCTGTACTTATTAAACTTAATTTTGGTTTGTACTTTCTAGACCATTTTAGATTACATGACTAGCTCACATTTGTGCTCACTTACCTTTCTGCTAAAGAATACCAGTCTAAAAAGTGGTTTTCATCTCGTATGCATGCTGAATCACCATTTAAATTTTTAAAGTATAAATGAGTGGCTTAGGCACACTGTCATATTTTGAGTCAAAATTCCTAGGGAATGGAGCCTAGTCTTGACATTGTAAAAACAAACAAATAAACAAAACAAAAACAACAACACAGACTTCATGGATGAACTGCTAATCTTGACCTTACTCTCTTTGCATAATTTATGCCTTTATTATAAAAAGAAAATAAGAGGGCCCTCCCTGGTGGCACAGCGGGGTAAGGCACAGCATTAAGATGCTAAAGCCACTTTAGCATGAATTCATCCCAGCCTGCCCCACAGGTGATCCACAAGGCATCGCAGACCTCCCCTGAACCTCCCGCTGCTTCCCTCAACAGTGTACTTGTCAGTCTGTTGTTCTGCGACCCTCTCTGTCTCTGGTGAATCCTCTCACGGTCCCTGCACCTCTGGCCTGTACCCTAGTTCTGTGTGCATAAATAAATAAATAAAACTTTCCAAAAAATAAAAATAAGATTTTACTTCCTGATAATATGATACTTTTCACAAAACACAGTAGTAAGTATTTTAATAGGTTAATGTATTGTCCTGTTCTTTCTTCTCCTCTTTAAGTCTTTAAACTTATATTAGGACTACAAGAAAGGCCCAGATTAGATTTTTTGTATTATTTCACTATAAGTAAGTCCACTTATTTTAAGTGTACATACATTATTTTAGATTTGGTTAAGCTTTATGAGAGATAGAAAATTTCACTAGTAGTTGCACAAAAGTAAAATAAAAATGATTTTCTTTAAATGTGGCCCTTATAACTATTATCTATCAAAAGTACATATGATTTATTTCAACACAGACAGCTGTATTGGTCTTGCATTAAGCCTGTTTCCTAAGAACTAAGAGTTGTGATATTCGATACATAAAAAAAAATATGTCCTTGAGCTAAAAATGTGTATTTTCTCCAATGTTAAAGAGAGGTAATGGTTTCCAGGCCAACTAAAATTTAAGCGATGACCATCCTATTAGATTCCTTTGCAAAAAGGATTTCTTAGATAAGAGTTTATATTACTGATAGATTTTATCTCTCCAGTATCAATTTATCATAATACCCTAATACTAAAATTTTTCAAGATGTGATGTTTTGTTTTAAAAAATCATATTAAGTAGAATTAAAAAAAATTTGGCTTGTCAGGAAATGCAGTTTTTCATCTTTTCATTTCTGGATTCATTCCCTCATGTTCTTTAAGAATATAGTATTTAGTTTATCAATTAAATGTATGAGGTTGGATCTTATATTTGATAATGTGATCACTATATAAAGTGATTACCTGTGGGGATTTTCTTTTTATCTTCATTATATACATTGTTACAGAATGAAAATTTAATCCTCCTGAAAATATTCACCTGATCACAGAGAAATTATTAATTTTCTCATTGTCAAATGAATCTTGGATCATATTGTGATCATACTCCCTATAATAAGCAAATCAAATTGGTAAAGCCCTGAGAAGATTTTTTACAGAGGCACAGATAATTTATAGAAAATAATTGTCACCCTCATTAGCTACATATACAGATTTATTTATTTATATATGTGTATATAATTTGTAAATCTATGTAAATAAAATGTGACTATACCTATTTATGGATATTGAATGACATGGCATATGCACTGTTAATGCTTTATATATTTTATTTGAGACCTCGCACTTAAAAGATTAATAACAGGGTCAGGCAGATGAGTATAAACTAACAGTGGGCTCACCTCCAATGTCTTAACCCACTGTTCACCTTATGTACATATGGGATATGCTTGCTCTAAAGCAAGATGAATTCCAAGGATGGTTTCTGGAACACATGGAGTATAGTAGCATATTTTATACAGACACTTTACTTGTACTATGAATGAGATCACTGAGGTGTTTGATTCATTTGTAGCTAAGGGGTAAATCTGTAAGTTTTTTTTTTCCCTTGGGCAACTATTTCTTATTTGTAGTTGATTGCATATCATATAGCCAGTAATTCTTCTATATTATAATCCCTCTCAGACACCTTAGTATACAGTGACTCTGTGATATACTATGCAGCATTACTTATGTGTATTTGACCACAAAACTGTATTTTCAAGGGTTGTATTAAGAGACTAGTATCCTTTAAAGAATTTGGGAAAGCTTCTGTAGGGTGACTTCTAGATGTCTCACATCTCTGTCTCTGACTTTGTCCTTTCCTCCATTCCAAAATTTATTTGCATTTTGGCATATAGCAGCTCCTCAGATAACTTTGTTTCATTAAAATGTGAATAAGAGGCCCTCCCTGGTGGCGCAGCGGGTTAAAGCACAGCACTGAGAATCTGAAGCCACTTCCGCGTGAGTTCGATTCCCGCCTGCCCCGGAGGAGACCACATGGCGAGCCAGACCTCTCCTGACCCGCCCGCTGCTCCCCTCAGCAGTGTACTTCGTCGATCTGCCTGTTCTGCTCCCCACTCTGTCTCTGGTGAAGCCTCTCACCGCCCCTGAGCCTCTGGCCTGTACCCCAGTTCTGTATGAATAAATAAATAAATCTTAAAAAAAAAAAATGTGAATAAGAAAATAAGGATTCCTGGTAAGGACTACTGACTATATGGATTTGCGTGTTCTGCTTCGGTATTCTAGTCTCTCAAAGACATGCATGTGAAGTTTACTGATAGGCCTCAGTTGTTCCAATTTGATAGTGTGTGTGTGTATGTGTGTGTGTGTGTGTGTGTGTGTGCAGATAGATATCCTGTAATGGAAGGGTATCTTGTTGAGGGTTGGGTTTCACATTGTACCCTAAGGCACTGGAAGAGTCTGGTCATCAAAACCTTGAACTAGACTGACCTGGTTGGAAAACGAATGAATCGATGACTGAATGGCTATAAAGGGCTGTTGAATATATTAGAAGTGTTTATAATCTTTATTCAGAAGTTTGGTGATATTTTTGTGACTCAAAATATATCATAGTTTCATTGGACACACCTCTTGTTTATATCAACCAGTTAGTTTCATTGCATGTTACTTTGCTTAAAATTACAATTTCTAATGTGCTATATGACTATATTTTTTCCTTCAAATTGTAGAACTAGAAATAGTTCCCCCACTATATTTTTTCCTTCAAATTCTAGAACTAGAAATAGTTCCCCCCCCCATGCTTTAAATTCAACTCTAAATTGGTTCTAATAAAGAAATTAGAATTGTCTAATGGGAAGAATTTTTCTGTTATGCTCTCCAAAATATTTTGGGATTAGAAGAACCTTCTAAAGATTAGAAAAAAGTATATTTTGCAAACTCAATTCAGTTGAAACAATATTTGTATACTGTTATATTCAGAAAATACCCATAAGATGATTCCAAGTTAAAAAAAAAAAAACTGTAATGGTTTTGATACGTTCATCTCCTGTCATGTTTGTTTAAATGTTTCCTAAATTATTAGAAATGGCAGGAAAATGTATTATACAGAAATGTTCACCTATGTGTCTTTCCTTTATGTCCTTCATTTTGCTCTGCATATCTGTTCATTCAAACAACCTCTTTTTTTTTTTTTTATCATTGTACATAGTTCATTTATGGTATAAGAAAACAAGAATCCTCATTACCCTCTCTGCCTCTGCATTCTTCATTCTCTCATGTCAAGACATTCCATATCATGGATTTAAAGACATAACAGTGATGTATCATGGGAGATAGTTACCTTTTCTGGAACCACACTTTTGCCATCCCATGCATAACCTCGCTTGGTGAAATAGTTCACTGTAGCGAACTCAATCAAAGCCGAAAAGACAAAGGCATAGCACACTGCAATAAACCAGTCCATAGCAGTTGCATAAGCCACTTTTGGAAGGGAATTTCTGGCACTGATACTTAATGTTGTCATGGTGAGCACAGTTGTTACACCTGGAAAGAAATAATTTAATAAATTTTGCCCATAGAAGATACTGTCATTCCATATGTCTAAAGCTCAGCATTTGAAATAAAAAGCATGCTTCTGAGTCACAATATATCCTTGATCCTGAGGTCTGTTTGACATTCTATCTGTATATATCAAATGTATAAACCAAGAAGGTAATAGTTTCTTCACAATTGATAACTTATAGATAACTGAATTATCTTGAGATAATAATTTCTTACATTATTATATTATATTACATATCTTCTGCTATTATATTACTTCTGATCCTGGAATAACTACTGTTTTAAAGAAATTCTCAGGACACTTAAATCACATAGCTCAGAAGGTGAACCAAAATTTGAATACGTTTGTCTGATTCAAATGAGCACAATCTCCCTTCTGCTAATGCACCTAACTTTCCTTATTCTGTAAATCCATTCTTACTATTTAAAATTACCTATATTCAAAGCAATTTCAATTCATTCATATTTATCTTATTTAATAGGCATGTGAGTGATGACATCTATTAATATTCATTTAACAAGTTCTCAATCTACTATATATAATGCAGTTTACCAGGTACAATGTTCTAAGAATCCTTTAAAAAATATATATATATATATATATATATATATATAAAAGAACAAACAAAACAAATAATTTATTGCAGCCCAGTAAGTCCAGTAGAGGTCTTCAGGCTACATGAAGTGGAGAAATTCCTGACCTCTTCAGCTGGCTAGCCCCATCCTCACATAGTGAGGTGGCTGCTTTCTCTGTGTGACTTTACCTCATTCAATATATCCTAGTTTTCCATAACTTTCTTTATTATATATATATATATATATATATATATATATATATATATATATACATATATATATTAACATTATTGTTCATTTTATAACAATGTTTACTTCCATGAATTTCAAATTCGATATTTGTAATTATGACAAGAAGTGAGAGGATTAATAGGATACGCTGATATATTTATTAAACCTTACTTTTGATATAGGGTGAGTTATAGAGAAAAGACTTAGTTTGAGCTTTGGAGGCATTACAGAAAGTTTGGGTGTATTATCCATATTATATAACCAGCAAATGTTGTAAGGGATATTGACTGGAAAACAGCCCCCCAATTTTAAATATCAGAGCAAGTTATTTTTATATGGGCATTTGGGGAACATAGCAACTAAATTTCAAATCCCAATTCTATAACTGCTGAATAACCTTAGGCAAATTGCCTTACAATTTTGAGCTTGTGTTTTGTTTTTAAAATTATTTCCTTGGAGATTAATTTTAATAAGTTTATTATAACTTAGAGAGCTATTATAAGGATTATATGGAATAATATAGTAAAGTATTTTAGGACAGCTTGAAACTAAGGGCAAAGTTAAATGTCACTAAAACCCTAGTTCTTTTTGATAAATCCCTGCTACAGTGAATTATTTATTTTAGAATTTTTGTTTATATAGGCAGTGGTTATAAAAAACTTGAGAGTGGGTATTCTTTTTAAATTTTTTGATATGTTCACTACATCATCCTTCATTTTTGTACAATGTATGATTTCCCTGTGAAATTCCCATCACCAGTTTACCTGTGCATCATCACCATAGTCCCTTGTGCTCTTCCCATTCCTGTCCTAATCCTTCTCTGTCCTACTCCCTATAGAATGTCTCTGATCTATAGTCACCTGATGATTTTGATGTGAGTGGGAATTCTTAAAACATGCACATGTAAATTGAAAGCAATTAAGAGTAACATAAAAGAAGTGTGTGTGTATCTGCTCATGTGTGATGTTTGTGTGTGTGGAGAGTAAATGGTATTTCCAATTACAGAGAAAAGGCAAGGAACAAAATATATTAAGTTCTAAGTACTGAGCCTGACAATTTAAATATTTTGTTTTTCTCACTTAACGCTTTAAACAGCACTATGCTCGTCAAACTACAGTCTCCCATTTTAGGCAACTTAGATATAGGATAATCCTTGACCCTAAAACATATGTCTATCTATAGTCACTGTAGTCAAAATGCTTCCAAAGGAGAGAGCAGGAAAGGTGAATAATAGGATGTGTTAAGACTTAGCCTTCAGTTTTAGTGGTTTTTTTTTTCTTTTGCCTTTCTGGTTGCTTTTTAACAAATGTTATAAAATACAACTTTTTTTTCCTTTTGTATACCCATGACTCTCTTAGGCATGTCACACAGATCAGAGGAATGTGCTGAGTTCAGAATAAAAATAATAGAAACGTGTACTAAACAAATGTTAAAAGTGTAAAGGTCCTGGAAAACTGTATTTTTTATTTTACTGAGGTTATAGTATTAGATAGTATATATAACTTTATACAAAAAAAATTCTTGCCACATCTGAGTTTACAGCTGTGTAGTTATGTTCACCAAAAGGGCACAAGTTGGCTGAGACAGCATATTGCTGAAAATGTTAAGAGCAAGGTTTTTGACTTATAAAACTTTCAATGCTTTAGAAATATCCCTGAAAGAGGATAGTTAGGAGGTGTTGGGGCACTTAATTTTTTTTTTTTTACTATAATGTTAGACTTGTCAACAACAACAACAAAACAGAGTAAATATCCTCTGTCTTTTAACTTGTTTTAATTTTTATTTCTAGTGAATAAAATGTTCAAAGCACATATCCACTGTGAAGTGAGCATCTTGACCAAAATTCAGTCTTCCATTCTAGTAAGTGATTTCAGTGCTAGTAATACTAATGCTTGTTAATAATAAGTGCTGTGTAACACAAATAGTTATGAAGGAAAATAAGAATTTGAAATGTACTGCTCACTTGATTTGTGCCTAGAATCATTCTGGATCTTGACTGAGCTGTGTTCTTAGGTTAAAGTCAGAGCAGAGATTTGTTGGTTTCCAACCTTCTACCACCTCACTAAATTTAGAAGAATGTAATTTTTTTTCTGGGCAGTTGTAGCGGGGGTTTGCTTTTTTTCTGAAATAACTGACTTTTCATACCTTACTTCTTTTGAAGGATGATAACATAGGGAACTCTGCATGTGAGTAATCCTGAGTTTATATTATAAGCTTCTTAAAATGTTCATTTTCAGTAAAAAACATAGTGCATGTGCCTAGCCAGTATTTTTGGAAAGAACATTGATAACTGTACCTTTCACCAGTAAACATGTGGCTATTTCCAAGTAAGTATTGTTGCCCACAACAACTCCTCCCCATGTCCTGTTACTGCAGTAGGTTAGCACTTTGGTGGGTACAGCACTATTATTAAGGGCACAGACTCTACAGTTGAGTGTGTGGGTCTCACCCCAGGGTTCTTCATTAATGGCATCAGATCTTGGGCGGGGTCCATAATCTCTGGTTCCTTGTGCAGAGGATATTTTTTATTTTTAAATGAGAAAATGTAGATTTATTTCATAGAATACAACCTATTGTTAACAAATGTAAGATTTATGATACAAAGCTCACGAGGAAAAAAGATTATGTTAAGTATACTGCTGCATACTGTGCCTAGAACAGCAGTAGTTGTAGCTCATAGTAAGCTTTAAATAAGTTATTTCTTGACTAGCTGAGCGAGTCAGTAAGTCTATATAGTGAAATCATTTGTTTATATCAGTCTTAAATATACAGTTAATATACCATACTGTCAAACATTCAGGAAATAACTCTTTATATGGAAAGCAAACTTCCAAAATAATAAATTTGTGGTTTTTAATAGGGTGTCCCTATTAAAAAGTTATTATCCTTTATCCAATTTTCCACAAGGTTGCTTTAACTGAGGCATCTTGAGTATTTCCATAGAAAAAAAGTGTATTTATACTTCTTCTGAAGGTACATATTAGATAAATAACATATCCCTGTACTGATAAGTTAGTCTTACTAGCCTCTCCCTATGTAAGGAACTCATACATGTAAAGAGGTAATTCAGCTGACATTTACTGAAAATTTTCAAAAATTGCACTGATTCCTGATTAAGTATTCTAAATTTGTGATTTAAATGTTAATGTTTCCATGTATGTTTTAATCTAGAATGATACATTTAATCCCTGCTTCATTCTAATTCTCTCCCCAAAATATCAAATCAAATGTTTGTAATCTCATCTATTTTCATGACTATAACAGCTTGCTGTTTAAAGAAAGATATTTTTTAAATCATACCATAATGGCAATTCCTTAGCCCTGTCTATTGTACTAACTGCAGGATTTAATATAGTATTATTTTTTCATTCTATTTTCCATGTCACTGACATGCTATACTTCTCATTGAGACTCTTGCATGTACTTCTTAATTGGCACTTACCAAAGACAGTCCTGGCTGGTACAGATTCTCTATTAAGCCAGAAAGAGACTTGAGAGAGAATAACAGTCATTATGCATGGAAGGTATGTTTGAATAACAAAGTAGCCAATCTTTCTCTTCAGGTGGAAATGAGTGGTCATAACAACATATTCTCCTAGAGGATGAAAGAGACAATAAGGTTGAGTATTTTGACCTTGAAAAGTTATTATCTTTGAGTTTTTATTCAGCAATTACAAAAACCTGAAGGTTAGGTATATTCTTTCTTGTGAGACATGGAGTTATTAGAGAGAACAGCTCATATCCAAGAAAGGAGACATTAAAACACACCAAAATGGCTCGGAAGATGAGACTGAGATACCAGAGAGCACAAGGATTTCCTTACATCACACATTTAAGAGACATGTCCTCATATATATTGACAGATTGATTTTAATGACCATGAAGGCAACGAGCTAATACCTGACAACATGACAAAAGGATGGAAACAGAGCAGATCAACAGTTTGTTCACTTTGGGTAAGATCCAGGCTGTCTAATGGAAGAGCTTTAGTGTACAAGTCAGGAGAACTGAATTCTGGCCCATCGCTTCCTTTCAGTGGTTCTCCAACTGAAAATTGGTTAGCAGAGCCTGATCTCTGAAATGAGGAGAGTGACATAGAATGCATTCTTCCTCAATATTTAGTTTGAGGAACATCATCAAAATCACCTGAGAAGGTGATTCTTTAGGTCCTATCTAGATACTCAAACTGGCACTATTCTTTGAGATGGTGCTATAGAAATCTGCATTTCTAACTAACTTTGAGCTGTCCCAAAATCTAGCATGATCTGGGAAAGAGTGGATGAACTAGATACTCTCCATGTCGCTGCATACTCCACAGGTTCATTTCATTTACAGATACAACATTCACATACAACATTAATTTCAGGAGTTTTTTTTTTTTTTTAATGTGATATTTTCTCAATTGCAAATCATAAAAGTTTTTAATTTCAGACACTCTAAATATACACTTAGCCATGTGGGTGGGTAGATAAACACAGTGTATTCTTGCCAAGATACCACCACTCTGGTCATCACATTTCTCTGCCTTTCTCTGTTCCTTGAATCCAAACTTTTTCCTACTCATTCACCAATGTATGTCATAGCTCTTGGCCATCCAACTTCCTCCTCCCATAATGTGATGGTAACTGTTCATGACCACTTAATATCTGTACTTGAACATATCCACCTTAAAAATCTCAGTCCTCGTGTTGGCTGCTCACCTTCTTTGCAGGTTTAAGAATTACTATGGACCCTCCCTGGTGCTGCACAGCAGTAAGAATCTAAAGCCACTTTAAGCATGAGTTCGATCCCTGCCTTCCCCAGAGGTGATCCACATAGTGAGGCAGACTTCTCCTGACCTGCTCGCTGCTCTCCTCAGCTGTGTACTTCGTAGATCTGCCTGTTCTGCAACCAGCAACCAGCTCTGTCTCTGGAGAATCCTCTCACTGCCCCTTCACCTCTGGCCTGTACCCACCCCCCAGTTCTGTATGAATAAATAAACAAATCTTAAAAAAAAAAAAAAAAAAAAGAATTACACTATGCTGATACCCTCCCTGGTGACACAAGGGGTTCAAGTGCACCACTCCGAAGCTGTCCATAGCCACTGCAGCAAGAGTTCTTTCCCCAGGGAGCCGACCCACATGGCACAGAAGACTTCTCTGACCTGCCTGCTGCTCCCCTCAACAGTGTATTTCAGTACCTCTACTTGTTCTCCTCCCCACTCTGTCTCTGGTGAATCCTCTTACCCCCTCATACCTCTGACCTGGCACCAGTTCTTGTATGCATAAATAAATAATTCTTTAAAAAAGAATTATACTGTGCTGATTGCCACCAATGTCTTGATTCATATTCTCTCTTTATTTTTCACTTTTATCAATAGTTTCTTTAAAATCATTGGTTATTTCAATTAGTATTTATTTAGCTCTTTCTATATATCAGGCTCTTATCTTTATCTGTCTGTAAATGTTAAAGTGCCTGTTAGCAATGTCTTCCATTTTCCTCTCCATTTTTTCTCAACTATAACAAGGACTTTTCCTCTTTATCTCTGCTCCTAATGTTATGTTTAGCAAACAGCCTGCCAAATTTTACCACTAAGTAACTTAGTTCTTAATCATGACCTGTATTCTCAAATATCTAAGTAGACCTTGGAGATCCTAGATATTTTTCAGTGATCTCACTGACTAATATATCAAAACTGACATTAACCTCTCCTGTAAACAATAACAACTAGCATATAGGAGAGCTGCTTCTCACTTTGTGTCACTTTCCTAATTCATGGCACTGCCATCCATCTATTACTCAGGCTAAAAACCTAGACCCAATCCTTGGATGATAAGAAGGACTTTAGCTAAAACAAGACAAGGAGGATTCAGCTGATCATTTTGTTTTTCATTTTGGCTGTGCAGTATCTCTCAGACTATCTCTTATCTTTGTTCACTGCTGTTATCTCCCTTGTAGATTTATTACAATCTATTTAGCTGTCTTGTTTATGTTCAGTTCTTAACTCTAGTATTCCTTAAACTGTGATGTCAGACCGATCTTTTAAACTTTACGCAAATACTTTAAAAAAATGTAAATGGGGGCCCCTTTGGTTGTGCAGGGGTTTAAAGTACAGCACTATGAAGCTATCCACAGCCACTGCAGCACAAATTCATTCCCTGGCCAGGGAACTGACCCATATAGCACAGCAGACCTCTCCTGTCTTACCCACTGCTCCTTTCAGCAGTGTGTCTCAGTAGATCCACCTATTCTGCTCCCCACTCTGTCCGTGGTGAATGCTCTCACCCCCCCACACCTCTGATCTGTACCCCAGTTCTTGTATACATAAATAATCTTAAGAAACAGCAACAACAAAAAAACTTAAATGGATTCCCTCTATCCATGTCAGCATTTCCCAACCTCAGCACCACTGACATGTTAGACCATTTCATTGTTTTTTATGGAAGACCACCCTGTGTATTATAGGCTATTAACCATATCCCTGCCCTCTACATTCTATGAGGACAGTAACAAAGCTCTCTTCTCCCCCAGTGTGACAATCAAACCACCTAAACCATATTCCAGACTCTCCACTTTGTAGTTCTATCCTGAGAGCTGCACTCCAGTCTCCTGTCTAACACACATGTTCATACTTCAGTATCCTGAGATACAAAATTCCCTATTTGACATCTTCTGTTGCTGAATATTTTGTCTTGTTATGGGCTGTGCTCAGCCCAATTATTGGGTCCATCATGGAGTAGGAAGAAAAGTACTGGGGAGAAAAGTGCACTGGCTTTGGAAGCAAATGATTTCAGGGTCTAAGCATAGATATTCTATTTTCTTGCTGGGTAGGCTTGAGCAACTTCCTTAAACACTCTGATCCTAAGTCTTCTGACCTATAAAATAATGAAGAAATACTTTGTAGGGAGAATAAAAAAATAAAAAACTCTAATTAACACCATATTACATAAGAATTTAAAAATAAAATTCAGCTTATATTTCAGTTTCTTTCTCTTCTTCATTCAGAACTGACAGATTTGCATTTAGTAAATACATTTAGTCAAAGTGCATTTACTCTTTAGTAGGAAATCATCCACACACTCATTTATGCTTTCATTGTTGTCATTAGTAACTACTTTTTTTTTTATAAAGATTTATTTATTTGTACATACAGAACTGGGGTACAGGCTAGAGGCTGAGGGGTGGCGAGAGGCTTCACCAGAGACAGAGTGGGGAGCAGAACAGGCAGATCGACAAAGCACACTGCTGAGGGGAGCAGCGGGCAGGTCAGGAGAGGTCTGCCACGCCATGTGGTCACCTCCGGGGCAGGCGGGAATCGAACTCATGCGGAAATGGTTTTAGATTCTCAGTGCTGTGCTTTAACCCACTGCGCCACCAGGGAGGGCCAGTAACTACTTTTTACTGATAAATGCTAGCTTAAACATATTTAGCTCCTGTTTACATTTACCTCATAATTTTTTATTTTAGCTAGTTATGTGCAGCTAGCCCTCCTACCAAACTGAAAGCTATTTCACAAGTATATTTCCTTAGCCATGGCATGCCCATACAACATACTAAACATTCAATACTTGCCAAGGGTGAAAAGGTTTGCACTGAGACTTAAGGGCTCTCATTCAAACCAATACCTGTAAGCATCTCTCTCAAAAGCTCATAGAATGTTCATTAACTTATTTCCACTGTGTGCAGACACCTTGGGTGATGTCTCTAAAGGCATCTACAAAAACTGCAGAATTGAGGCAGTTAGAGGGGAGAGATAGTGGGAGTGGGGACAGAGGAGGTAGAGCCCCAGTGACTAGGGTAAAGGAGCATGGGTGCCGTGGTAGCATACATCTGAGGAGGTTGGAACCTATACCCTTAAATCATGTATAGTACTATAAACTACTGTTGCCGAAATAAAATAAAGAAGCATTTCAAATTTGAGAAAAATGTGGAAAAGCAATATCCAGGACCCTGCTAATGTACAGCCTTGTGTGGACAGAACCATGTTATTGTTTACCCTCCCAGCACTATATGTTATTATTCCTAACCATTCATTCAGTTGTGATCTACAAAATGTCATCAACTCAAAGAAAAAATTCCACCTTTATATGCCAGAAAAATTAGTGTCTATATACACTCCATTGTTTCCTTTTGTTATTTGCAATATGACATTTGGGGAGTTTCTGCAAAGAATATGATTTTGGAGATATGAAGAACTATTTTTATTTAATACTGTATTTGTTTTATGTCACTTCTTCACTAACTGAGAAAGAATAGGGTAATTTTATTTTATTTTTAAACTTTATTTTTAAAAAAAGATTTACTTATTTATGGCTACAGAACTGGTGTACAGGCCAGAGGTGCAGGGGTGGTAAGAGGATTTACTAGACACAGAGTGAAGAGAAGAACAGGCCGACTGTTGAAGTACACTGCTGAGGGGAGCAGTGGGCAGGTCAGGAGAGGTCTGCCATGCCATGTGGGTCAACTCCCTGGCCGGGATCTAACTCATGCTGAAGTGGCTGCAGATAGCTTCATAGAGCTATGCTTACCCCGATGCTCCACTAGGGAGGGCCCAGATTAGGGTAATTTTAAATCTTAAAGTAATCTTCCTAAATGAAAGTAAATCTTAAGAGCTTT